GGAAAGGGAACAAGGACTTGGCATCTCTTATTTAAGCACCAGTTTGGCCAAATGTGTTTACCTATAATGTGGTTTTCAGCTCTGGATGCCCTTGCAAGTACGGACCTCTATCCAACGTCTGACCACTGCATGCCTCCCAGTCCAGTGAGAGACAGCCCTCTTCTATCCACACATGGCTGCTTTTGTCCCCATTCCTCCAGTCTTCCACCACCTGTCCCAGACTGTATTTTGCTATCACACTTAGTAACTCTCAGGGAGCTCCAAAGTAGGCTGCATACTAGATGCATGTATGCCTCAGGCACCAGGGTGAGTTGGTGCAGGGCAGATGCATGGCCTCAGCTTGAGATCTGAAGACACACATACGTGCTTTGCTAATTATATTAAAAGAATTTTAAAATGAGGGCATGGATTTTGTTGATTCTTTGAAATACAGGAATAAGACATAAGTGGATTTATTTGCCTGAGTTGAATTTTAAATGGATTTGTAATTTTTCCTTCAGTTTAGGGTACATTCGTCTAAGTTAGAAAATAAATGTTGGTGTAACTGTGCTTGGGATTTGCAAATACACCTATGCATCTTTTATCTTACTACAGTAACTACCCATCCTCGGTGTCACAAGCCTTTTATTAGCAGCATCTTCCTACCCTCACTTGGGCTTCCCATACTGCACATTTTGTTCTTCTCTAGGTTTCTACCAATCACACATGTATGTTTTTATTTTCTTAAAACTAACCTGAGATCTGTGATAGAAGCATATTCTGTCTGGAGTCATTATTAATTGCTGATGTCTACATGACTTTTGTATAGCAACGTGTAAAGAAAAGATCCTGCTGATTGGAAACTAAACATTTAAAGCCAGCTACCAGGAGCCTGATAAAAAGACCCAAGCTTGGGCTGGAAACAGCTTCCAGAAACTCTTTTTGCTTATCCCTTGTAGACAATAAAGGCGAGAAAGGAACAAAGATCACTTGGGGTAGAACAAGTCAACAAAAATAACTAACTGTGGGGGTTTGTTCCTGAAATGCTGTACGTGGAGCTTAGGAGACCTTTGGATGTCTTGTGAAGGATCCTTAGTGCATTTTTCCAGAGCAAACTCATAGCTGAGGAAAAGGTTAATAATTAAATGATTATTAAGTTTTCAGTCATTCTCCTACTTGGAGCGAAATCATATGTAAAATATTTTCTATACAGCAAAAACAGCATTTTTCTCCTTACCTTTCTACGTTTCTATATACCTACTTTGATTCTGGAGTAGACTAAAGCTGACCACCTTTCCTCCTCTGCTCTCCCTCCCCACCCAAGTGCCTGCTGTTCTAACAAGTCAACAGGTTGAAAGAGACATCATGATCTAGCAGAATCAACATCCTGCACAGCTAAATTGATGGCCAAGAGCCCAAGTGGAAAGCAGTACCTTGGTCCCTTGGAAGAGTAGATAGCTCCTACAGATGACTGAGTGCTCTTTGTCCCCAGGGTTTCAAAATTGGTGGGAAAAATGTGTTCTCTGCTTTTCCTTTGGCTTTTGCTAAACCAGCTTGAAAGCTGCTCAGGAAAGTGGCAGTGGAGCAAAACGCCTGCACACAAGTTTTGCAGACATGCATGAGCAAGCTCAACCTATACTCCGCGCTGTCTGGAAGCTGTGACTCTGCGCTGGTGTGGTGCCAGCCCTTGACTAGCACACCTGGTCTCCAAACTGGCTTCAGTTCCTTGCACCAGCTGCCACGGCTTTCAGTCAGGAGCTCACTCTATTAACAGAAGCATCTGCCGGTGTCTGCAAAATATAAATCCTGTCACACCTGGGTTGTGACTGCAGCATGGTGGGGTCACCGAGGCATGGAACCCCTCACTAACCCTGTTATACCATACTTGTGCAGCTCTCTGCAGGTCCACTGAGAGAACCACGCACATCCTCACCACACAGTGAGGTCAGCTACAGTCACCTTCCATTCCATCAGCCCATAGGTCAGGGGAGAATTTGGTCTGTGAGGGGAACAAGTTCAAGGAAACGTTTTAACATCACACCAAGGGGTGCTCTGCTGCTTCATGTCTTCTTTCACATGCCTTTTTACATTTTTTAATTAGGAAAATCATTCTGATTAAAGCCACTTTGAAACTGTTCCTTTTGCTTTGAGCCATACAGGAAGCTTATGGGATTATTTGCAAGATGCTATTTCCTAGCAAAGCACAGAGGATTTCTGCAACTGAGGAAAATGTTTTCAGATAGTTAATTACCTAGTGCTTAAAAATAGGGCATTTCATTTACGAGGCATCTGCTCTCATTATCTGTGGTACCTCCCACAAGACTACTTTAAGAGCACATCTCTGAAGAGTAAATGCCAAAGACAAATGATATCATTTATTTATGATAGATTAGTTTTTCTGGAAGGGAAGAATTCGTGACCTCAGAGTGAAGCTGAAAATCCTGCTGCCTCCAAACACCACTCCTTGATCTCAGTCAGGGTGCTGACTGCGGGAGTGAGCCCTACACAGACAACAGAGAAAAAAAAATGGGAGTTTTCTTCTCTTCAAGTTATTTGGTATTTACTGGAGGACAGGGTGACAGGGAGAACGGCAGCCACACAGGCTAGCATTATACTCCAGTTTCAGCCAAGCTCGTGTCAGCGTAAGGGTTTTACACTAATCCTTCACAAATCTGCCATTAGAATTATAAAACCAGGCTCTTCTAGTGGTGAAATAGGTGTGCAGTAGGACTTGTACTGCAACGCATAGAGCAAGCTGGTGATTCCTGATTGTTTTTCCTTGGTATTAATAGGATCAAATTTAAAAATAGAAAGTGTTTATACTAATAAAACCCTACAAAAAGTTTCTTTAAAGTTGTTGGTAAGATCCTTCTCTTCAGGGTGAACTGAAAAAAACTAAGTGATATTTCATCCTATTTCATATAATTATGAAGAGAGTAAGCATTACTTGGAAAATTAGAACCATCAGTTCTCTCCTGTCCCTTTCCCATGACTTTGGAAGTGTGGTGATGTTTCAGAGGCAGTCTCACAGTCGCAAAGAATTGTAATCACACATCATATTACACTGCACTTAGCATCCAGCGCCTGAACAACACTGGCTGCAATTAAACAGCATCTTCCATGCAGACATCTCTGCCATCCCTTGTGTGAGAGTTAGACTCTGGTTTTTTTTTGCAGTAGAAGCTTCTAATATTAAAGTATAAGCCCTTACTAAACTTATAACCTTCTTATAAAACGGCTACACAGGCTGCTTCTCACAGTAAGTTGCTGAGGCAGATACCAGCACAAGATAGGGCAAATATTTTGCTTAAAAGCAGAAACCAGAGCATTCTGACTAGTCCAAGATAAGGCGAATCTGCACAGAACCAAACAATCATGATAACCTTAATCCCTAGAAAAAAAGTGCAATAATCTTATGAAATATTCCCTCCTACCTCCATAAAGAAATACAAGATAGACTTGAAAACAACAGGTTGGTAACAGGCCTAATAGGGAAATATTCCTTAGTAACTGCATCAAGATTGCGAGCCTGGGATGCTCAACCAATGAGTAATGAGGAGAGATGATAACTGTGTTGAGAGAAAGGGTATATAAGGGTGTGTATTTCACTGGCAAGGTACGTGTTTTTTCTCTTGTCATAAGAGAGTGTGCATCCGCACACCAGCACTGCTATTGCAAATCAAACATGCTGCTTCACTAAGGTTCTTGCTGGAGTCAAACTTACTGAGAGTGTTTCTCACACTTGTTGCAAAGACATCTCCCAGATCATTCCCTAATGTTTGTGTGCTTCTCACTAATGCCGTGACTTTGGTGTTTTTCCTGTTGAACAGCAGAAATTCAAGAACTTTTAACTGCTTTCCCCACAGCTCTGCAGTGTCACGGCCCAGAGGGACACAGACTGGTGTGTGTGGTTAACTCCATGTCCAGCATGAGCAGTCCCACTCACCAGAACTCATCCCAGTCTGCATAAAACTTAGCACCCTTTTTTACACATCAGAATCCTGCTGTGAAAGCAAACAACCTTTTCCTGGAATACCGGCCATGCAGGGTGACAGAGCCACGCACCATGACACTGCCCTTCGTGGTCACTGCTGAGGACAAGTTAAAATCATGGACCCATAGAATTGTTTGAGTTGGAAGAGATCCTTCAAGGCCATCTAGTCCAACTCCCCTGCAGTAAGCAGGGACACCTACAGCTCCATCAGGTGCTCAGAGCCTCATCCAGCCTGACCACTAAGTCTCCAGGGATGGGGCACCCCCCACCTCTCTGGGCAACCTGTGCCAGTGCCCCACCACCCTTATTGTAAAAAACTGCTTCCTCATATCCAATCCAAATCTTCCCTCTTTTAGTTTGAAATCATTTCCCCTTGTCTTATCACAACTGCTAAACAGTCTGTACCCTTTCTCACAGCCCCCTGTGTGTTAAGGAACGGGGAGGACTTTTCCACATGAAGAAATGCTGGTTTCTGGGTCAGAGTGGGCACGCAGAGTCTTTTCGAACCCCCAGAGCGTGCTTCACCCTACATCCCCGCCCTGAGGCAGCACTGCGGACTTGGCGGCCGCCACCTCAGCGGCTGTTGGCGCCTCTCACGGCCCCGCTGCGGGCGGTACTGCAGCCTCCCGGTGCACGCGCCCCGCGCACCCCATCCCGCCGCCTCGCGCTCGGCACCGCCGAGGCGGCTCCACCCGCCCGCTAACGGCCGCCGCTAACGGCCGCGCTCGCGCCTCGCGATCCCTCCGCCAGGGGCGCGCGCCGCCCCGTCTCTCCCCGCTTGACCCGCGCGAGGCGCCGTAGCGCGGCCGGGATCGCGGGCGGGCGGCCCGGGGGCGGCGGGGATGCGGACGGCGCTGCGGCCGCTGGGGGCAGCGGTTGGGCGGCGCGGGCGAGCGGACGCTCGGCCCTGGACGGCCGCGGGGCTGGGCGGGCGATCCCCCGCTTCTGGCCGAGGCCGGAAAGCCCGGAGCCGCCCCCTTCGCCGCCGCCGCTGAGGGAGCGGCCCCCGCCCCCGCCCCGCCCGCGGGGGCGGCTCGCACGGCGGCCCCTCCTCGGGGAGGCCGGCTGCATGGGCAGGCGCTGCGGGGCACCGTGGTCGCCGGCCTCGCCGGCAGAGCGGCTCCCGGGCACCAGGTAGGCGAGGCTGCGGCCGTTGGCGCGGAGCGGGGCTCGGGGTCGCGGTGGCGGGAAGCTCCGCGTCACTCGGCTCGCTCCTCGTCGCCCCCCGCCCCCATTTCGCACGGAAGCCGGGAGGGCGATTTGCCGCAGGCTTTTGCCCCGGTCTCTCCGGCCGGCTCCGGGGGTGTGCGGGGGGGAGGGCTTTGGCCGCAGCTCCGCGCTACTTGGCAGCGGCGGTTCCTCGAGACCCTCCGGCGGTGGGGATGGGGGCTGTCGCGTACCTTTATTACCGGGTATCGCCTATCCGTGTGCGTACCTAAAGCGGAGCTCAATTTGTGGGAGTTAGAAACTCCCTCGCGTTTATTCTCTGCTCTTAATAACTGAGTGCGGCATTGTGCTGCTGGGCTGCAGAGCCCGAGGTGGAGCCAGCGTGTCTCGAACGAAAGCGAGGGGCTGACGGACAGACCCCATAGCGATGGGTCTGTTGGCGAAGTGCAGGGATGGGAACATCTTAGGTCTGCTGGTTTGGTTTAAATCTGCTAATTGGCAGTAAAAGAAGGATAATCTTTTGTGAAAGCCTCTGCGAAGGAATAATTCTGCAGCAACCCTCGTTATTAAATCTTGCTTTTGGCATTTCTTGCAAATAATGAAGCTTAAAAAAATTGTTGCAGATATCCTACTGACCTGCGAGTGCATCTTTCAGTTTAGGTTACTGCTGATTTGATCCTCTGGAATCTGCAGAAGGAAGGTCAGCCAGCCGCTGCGAATAGCAGAGTAACAGGAGTGGAGCTCTGGAGCAGGATCGCTGAGAGATGTGTGAACACGCATAAGCACAGCTGAGCTGTCAAGTATTTCTGCCTCAGACCTGGGCTTGTTCCCCAGGCAGGGTTTGCGTGGGGTGTAATATCTTCTGATACCTGGAGATGATGTCGGTTGAAGGGTCTACAATAACAAGTCGGATCAAGAACCTCCTTCGCTCCCCCTCCATTAAGCTGAGAAGAAGCAAGCCTGGGAACAAGCGTGAAGATATAGGCAATAAGGTGAGTGTTGCATGGTGCTGCCATGCTTGTTTTAACTTTGTTGCACGTGGTCCCATCTGTACTGAAAATACCTCGTGGGAGACTTGGGGTGACCAGAGAATCACACAGAACGTCTGATATGTGGTTATAGTATGTCTTTTAGTTGGGATCTTTAGGCAGGGTCTGAAAGGGTCCGTTCATGATGGATGTGACTGTAAGTACCCAGTCTGAGGTCGTGCTGTATAGGAAAGCTTTTGGGTTTTTTTTTCATTCTGGCATATGTAGTTGATATGGATGACTGGCAGGAGGAATGTAATGCTGTTCTTTCCTCCATGTTCTGCTCCATCAACTGCTACCTGGTGTTACAAGCAACTAACAATACACAGAGACTTGTTTTTCCATGTAAGCTATGGCTCTTAGCCCCACAAAGGAGTGTTCTGTGAGCATCTGGGGAAGGGTGAGATGCTTAGAAAGATGAAAAATGTGATTTGTGTCTCTGAAGTGACTGTTCAGATGGGGTTTGCATTCTGCCATCCTGAATGTGCTTTCTTCCATCTTCCTTCTCTACATGCTTCAGACTAAGCTCTCTCTTTTCTAGCAGACGCTTAGTTTGAGGTGTAGTTGATCCTATGTGAAAAATTTGTGGCTCCTCTTGGTGTTGCAGAGGATGCCTGGCAGACAGTCACTCTCTGGGAACTGACTGGTGTTATGAGGAGAGAAGAATGACTTCTCTCCAGCTGTGGACAGAAGAGGAGCTGGGTGGCATTTCCTTGTGCTGACAGCAGGCGCATCTGAGTCAGGGCACCTGGTTTTGTCTCTGCCACTGATTCACTTGTAACCCTGGGCAAATCACCCAGCGCTTGCATTGCTCTGTCTCCATAAATAGAAAAGTTAATCCCTCCCCCTTGTGAAGGCCCAGTAATAAATAAGAAGAAATGCTTGTAATACATGAATGCAAAGTGTATTCATTTATCTCAGAACAGTAGTGCTTGGGAAGTTAGCCGCTGGAGTAAGGAACATATGTAAAACTGCAGGGGAAAGAAATAACTGTTTAAATGGCCTGTCCCAGCATGAAACTCTGCTCTTGAAGCTCTGCATCTGATTGGGGGTTCCTGGAGATGGCTCTTTTTTACTGAAGAAGTGCTCCTCTCTTGCCACAAAAGAGAAAAACCTGCTCAGCTTCCTCAGAGCCTGTCTAGAGGAGAGTCCTTGGTGCTGGTGCCTGGCCTGTGTGTGCGTGTGCATGCATGCACTGCATGTAATGCAGCCTGGGTGCTGCCAGTGAAACCTGCTTTCTGCCTGTTGCTGAAGAACAGGTAGTTTACCTGTACTGTGGGAACAGCCAAAAGCTGCCATACCACCATGTACAGGGGCTCTGAACTCCAGCTCTGTGAAAAGGAGCTGAGTTTGGCCTGCTCAGTTTCAGAACTGGGACTGCTGCTATACATCCCAGGCCTTCTTGGGTACCTGATTGTTGGTTTTTTGTTGTTGTTGTTCTGCCTTGCTCATAACTTTTGGAAGAGCTCTGTTGTATCCATTCTGCAGTCAGGACTGTCTTGACTACCTGGAGACATGATGGATAAATTCCACACCATCAAATTAGGGTTTAAGGGCTGGGTTTTGTGTCTTACTAGTGAGAGCAGTTAATCGGTGAGGGAGTTGGCTGGTAAAAGCAATTCCTCATGATGAGGTGTTAGGTGCTGGTGTTGGTTTCCCAACAGTCTGCTCTGAATGTCTCTCAGTGACTTTGTCTGTCTTCTTCAAATGGTCAAAGCAAACAAGAGTGGGCCCTTAGCAGAGGTGCTTCCTTCACCTATTTGAAATTTGTGATGGTCTCTCTGCCACACATGTGCTCCTCTGCCTTCCAAGGTGAGAATCAGTTCTCTTTTTCTGATATAGCAGTAGAAGATCCTGTTGGTCTGCAATTTAGAACAAGTGTAAATCCTTGGGACTGAAATTTGGGTCTTGTACATGTTGCTCCTGAGGGATCTTTGCTGACCTGCAGGATGAACTTCTCCTGCTGTTCTTGTTCTTTGACTCTTTGACTGGCTCTGAGAGATGTGTGTCACATGAATGAAGTGAACCTGGCAGTATGAAAAAGTCTATGAAATATGCAGCTTTGGTTGGTCATCTCTGCTTAATGCTCCTTTAGTTACATGGGATGGAGCAGGACTGTTGCCTTAGATTAATGCATGAAAGCTGATACTTTGCATGTGGGGATGTAGGCGAAGAACAAGCTTTCTTCACCTCTGTGATTCTTCCGAGTCTTTCAGGCTCTTTTTGCAACTAGCCACTCACTTGAAGTTGGATAAACATCCCCAGCAGCACTGCCTTGACTTCTATGAGCTGTAATTTCTTTTTTTTTTTTGCTTTTTTTTTCTTTTCTTATTCCTCAATTTGTGGTAAGTGTCCCTGTTCTTTCCTAAATAACCCTTGGGCTGTGTGAGTGCTGTCAGGCTGTCTCTGTGGTTAGGGATGAACCCTTTGGGCAGTTGGTCCTGCTGAAGAGAAGCTCTGTGGAATTTGGCTCCTTTCAGCGAAGCAGTCATGTACTGCTGGTCTGGAAGGGGCAGGCTGTGGGAGCCTGGCTCTGCAGGGATCTGTTTGTTCATTGCTTTGGATGGGGGAGTGTGGGTAAGTGCAGATATTTTGCATGAGGGCTGTGCAGGACATGCAATGTGTTACTTGGGAACTATGCAAGAGAGAACTTGTTTTGTGACTTTTATTAGGACTTTTTCCTTGCCTGTAATTAATGCATGGTTCTTCCATATTCCCCAAAGGAGATCTCTACAGAAGTGAAACTAAGGAACCTGCACATAATCATGGATATTTTAAAAATATAATAAATAAGGGAAAGAAACAGGAGCTCTCTAAATAAAGCTTGTTGACAGACTGGATACAGTGTCTAGTTTTCTTGTTGCTTTTTGAAAACAACTTCTGTTTTGTGGGAATTTCAGTTTCTGTTGCTGTGTGACTAGCTCTGTGTTTAGACTTTTCTTTGTGACTTTGGATGTGTTAATCCATTTTTCCTGTCCTCTCCAGAACTCCATTTTTTGTGTTGAACCAATATAGGCTCAGAGTATGGTGGCTTACCTCTAGGCCTGCTGAATGTTGGGATTGTGGCATATTAGCACGGAGTCTAGAAGCTGAAACTTACTTTGCTGAAGTTGGTTGGCTTGTGTTCAATTTCTAGAGGATTACTAGCCCTACCAGAAACCCAACTATGCATCTGATCACCATGCTTGTGATTCCAGTAGAGAGACAGAGTTAAAAACTGGAAACTGAGTACCTTTGCTCATGCTGCATGGGAAGCAGTGGCAGGACAGCAGGGAAGCAGGGCAGACACAAGCCATCTCCTGTTGCTAAAATGCCCTGGTTGCTGTGAGCACCCTGCAACTCAGCAACAGAAATCTCTGCTTACCGAAGTAATGTTCTGGAGCGGGTGCAGTTCCTGCAGGGAACATTCATATTGCTAAGCTCTGCTTGCGTCTTTTTTTTTTTTTAATTAACGTGGGGAGGGGGGTGCTTAAGCAAACCAGATCATGAGTGTTGGTTTGAAAACAAATTGTTACAAAATCTGCTTACAGATTTCTCCTTACGAGTAAGTCAGAGAGTCAAAGAGACATACTTCGAATTTGCAGCTTATGTCTTTGATCTCTCCTGCTTTCTTCTAAGCTAGAAATGTTTTAAGTCGTAAATTTAGAGTAATGCTTTGAATGAAACCTGAAATTTCCCAGCAGGAGATTTCCAGCACAGGGTCTGTTGTACTGTGGTTTCCCCTTCAACAAATGTCATGTGAACGTGTGCGTCTGGAAGACTTGTTCCTGATGCGTGGTGCTGGGTTGGACTGGGGGGCTGCAAAATATTTTTGAGAGATGGTGTTCTGAAGATGAGCCCTGTGCTACTCCTAGTACGATGGGGCTTTCTGTCCTCTGCTGAAGAGATGTCTGTTCCTACTGCCAGCCTTCGGTTTCCCATTGGCTTGTTGGCACCTCCTTGATAATGGCAGGGTAAAATCACCAATGTGTGTCTCTGTCTTACCTGTGAGCGAAGTGGGCATAGGGATTTATGTGAAAAGCAAGCTCTGTGGCATCTTGACAGCCCATTCCTGACATAGTTCTTCTCCAGCTCCTTAGTTCCCCTGAGAAGCTGCAGGGTTTGGCTGGGACCACAAGCCATCCCTGACACAAGGAATAGAGTAATACTTCTGGCCTGCCTATAGTTCCCTGCCTTCACTGCCCAGTCCTTTTTATGTGGAAATGTTACAGTTTTCAAGATGAATCAGTTCAGGCTGCTACTACTGGTCTTAACTGGATCAGCTGAGAGTTGCTGAGCCTGAACTGGAACAGAACCAAAGCACACGTAAGTTTGTACACATAAGTGGTATGTATGCTTCAAAAATCATTGCCTCTTATTAAATTGTTGAAGGTGCAGCTGAGGCTTGTTGCAGAGTACAGTTCTTTGTAAGTTTTTTATGAACAACATGGTTGCACCTTTGCAAAGCCTGCTAACTTTCTCATGGGCAGTGTTTTCCAGTTTTGGGACCAGCGGAGCCAGTAGCACAGAGGAGAGGATGTTTCTAGCCTAGATCTGACCTGCTGTTGCTGTGCCTGCTCTACCTCAATATCCATGAGTGCTGCTTGACCCCAGCTGATAGCTGTGGATCTCTGCACAGCTCTGCCTGAATGCACTCAATTGCTTCAACAGCTTAGGGGCTGCCATCCGGACATGGAAGGGATTTTGTGTCTGTCTCTAGTCAGGCTTATAACAGTGCCTCTTAAAGCAGATGACAAAGGCTGATTAGCCTCTCCATGGCCAGACCTGTTCTTCACTGTCTGTGGATGGTGTCAGTAGAGCAATCGAGAGTGTTGGAGCTCAAGGGCTAAATCCTTTCCAACTGAAGTGCTCTGGTCCCTTCTCAAGTACATGATGCTCAAGATGACCTTGTGTTTGTTAACAATTACATGCATCCGTTTTCCAGGCTACATTTGTTCTTGTTACACCCTGTCTTGAGATTACAG